GAGGAGGCTGTTCCACCCCTGATGGACAGGAAGAGCAGGAATGGGGGAGGAACCAGGGACAAGAATATACCTTTATTTGCTATGTTCCCAGTGACCCACCTCCTCCTAGACCATACCTCCCAATGCAAGTGAGCTACAGTGCCACATGATCCAGTCACCTTCTAAACACAAGAGACACTGGGGGACATTTGAGATCTAAACAGTAACATACGCTTAATTATATAGCAACTGAGATTTCCATCTCATCCCTTCCTGGTAAAACAGATATGTCAGTATTTGTCCTCAATTTAATAAGAAATCTTTAATTTCTCTTTATCTGATTGGATCTTAATTTCCTAACTTACAGGTGGCATTCATTTTTGAAATCCAAAGGTAGAAATTCTTCTTCCACCAAATACACATTTTCTAGACCTATTCCCTATATGCTATGTAGACGCTATTTACAGTGAATACAAACTATACTAACATGGTTTACTTAAATGAATTTCTCAGATTATACATTTTCTAATATAAATAAGGAGAACAGGAAGAATATCCTGTATACAGAATCCTACAGCATGTGTACATTTGTAAGATATGCTCCTTTCTTCCCACCCCCTGAATTAAAAAAATACAGTTAAAATTTGAAATAAAATGTCAAATCTTTTTCTTTAACTTTATACAGTTCAAAAAGAATCTTTCGAAGGTATGGCACTCATCTGTATGCTATTAAAGCATGTGTGCTTTCCAGCAACTACTGTATATGCTTCTCCTTTAATGTTTGGCAAGCTGTGATGATCCCCTAAAAGCAATAGGTGTTCTGTAATTCACTAATGTCGGTAAGCTGTGGCAGTTTGTGATGAGAAACCAGCTTCCTCAGCAGCTGGGCCAGTACCGTTTTACTGTTCTCTTTCAGAATAAACGCCCTACACCATGCACTAGGCAAATGAAAAACAAAATTACAAACCCCAATGAAGATAAATGCAAGTCTACCTCTCCAAGTGTGCAAGGGTTTTTCTCCACATTTATAAAGTAGTATTTTCTACTGTTTTTAAATTTATTGCATGCAAATCACTTGCTAGGAATTATAAATACATAAGAATGAATACATACTATAGGGCCCAAACATTTATAGTTTATTGATATTTAAATATGGTTTTTATTTTTAGAAGGTACAAAAATCTTTGATGAAAACAATTTCATTAAATATATTAAAAAATCTGAATGCACTCTGAAAATTCTGACTTGACTACTTTCATGTCCTTTGAATAAGCTGGCTTTGATTCTGGAGACATTAAGATTTTGAATGTAAGAAGCTCAATGCTAGAAGCACTGGCTTTCAGAGTTATCTAGACCTGGGTTTAGATCCTTCATATTTCCACAAACTACAATGTTATTGTGGACAACAGATAGCTTCTCTTCCAGATGCATTTCTTCTCATCTGCAAAATGGGGTTAATCACTCTTATTTTCTTGAGCTTCTGTGTATCTAGATGCACACATTGTGACTTGTACACCACAGGGCAGCAAGCATTCAATAAGAGGACTCTATTGAGAGCCTCTGCCTCATACTGCTAGGTAAATTGTTAAGGGCTGAAAGCAAACAAAAAACTCCCTGTAATGGTGTTTCTATAGTAAAAGTTTGAAGCAATCCTTGTCTAACTCTATTCTCTTCTCTAGAAATAAGTGGGAAGGAAATTGTTAGTTTTAAGTGGGAACAGCCCAGTTTAAGTGCTGCAGGAAATTAATGAATCACATTAATTAAAAACAATTATTTACAAAAAAACCCAATTATTTATTTCTCATTCACCATCAACTAAAGGTACTACTCACCCTGCCTTGGGCATGACCATACTTTCCCACCTCTGTCTTTTTGCTCATCCTTGCTCTGCCCTTCCTTCCCTCTTAATTGCTCAAAGGAAAAATGTAAATGCATTCTTTTCTTACTTTCTAAATACCCAGCTATGAGTCATCCCATCAGGCTCCAAATGCCCACCCCTTTTACTTCCTATCCCCTTTGTGTCATGGCTGTCTTTAGACAGAATTTATCTTTTTCTGTTCCTTTGTTTACTTTTACTTCAAAACTAACATCATCCTTTTCATTGATTAATAAATATAGTTTAAAATTTGGCAAAATATTTGAAAACAGTAGAAAACGACCATTGTTACTGTGATATTAGATATAAAATTGTATGTGCATCTCTGGTTTTTTAAGATCTCTGAGCAGTCATCCTTGACAGGGGATGTGGATACATGGGAGAGAAGCAAAATGCAACTCTGCTATTATTTGTGTTCTGCAGAACAAGGCCTGACTGAGCTGACTGCCCCTCCCAAGACCCATCCTCCTAAACTCACAAGAATGGGAGTAAAGTAGGTAGCATTACCTATGGTGGTTTTTCTTTTTTTCTTTTTCTTTTTTTCTTTCTTTCTTTCTCTTTTTGCTTTTTCAATAAATGTGAACTGAAATTTTAAAAAGTACTAGCCTAACATAAAAGCTTCTTCATGCAGCAAGCTTAACATCGCAGACAGGAGGGAGGCAGCTGAGCAGGGTTATTGTGTACACAGTAAATCAGGCACAACAAGGGGCAGCACAGCAGGGTAAGATGCACACTTAACCCTCTGCACACGCCACTGCTCCGTCTTCCCCCATCTCAGTCCTCAGCAGCTTCTACTACTGTGTCATGGATGTAACCGGCATTTTCAATCTAAATCCCGTTATAGATTAATAAGCAAACATTTTCTCGCTTATTATACAATTTATCATGATGAAAATTACATTGGACTCCTCAAGGCTTCATGCTGATACATTCATTTATTCACAGCCATGTACGGAAAGTCATACTAATCTTCATGACAGAAAGGATGTTATAGCAAGATTTAAATTACCTACTCAAAACTACAGTATTTGTTTCTGTGGGCATACTACATGTAGTTTACTGCATTAAGTGCATCTTTATTTTGCTGATACAAGCTTAATGTAAATTTATTTAAAAACAATAAAGGTATAAGTAGCAAAATTGAAATTAAAAACCTATCACTTCTCCAAGGTTAAATTAAATACACTGTTGAAATTATTTTTAGAGTAGATCTGAAAATAAACTATATAATTAGATCAAAGCAAAATTTGGAACAATCAAAAACATTAGAAAGTGCTCAAGATAAACCAGACAAGCTGTGGTAACAGCACATGCAGCAGCTGCAGTCAGGGGAGGCCAAAGGTTGAAAATGTGCTTTGGAGCTTTGTATAAAGGCCACCTGCCTTGCACTCTAGGAACAAATTCACGGGCTCATATTTTCTTCTAATCCTTATAGCCAAATAGGAATCCTCCTGTCTCTCATATCCAGAAACTAACCCAACCACCATGCTCCAAACTGCTCGTCCTAGAAATGGGATAGCACTTGATCTTTTGAGAGCCAGGTCCATATAGTGGCATTACCATGGACACTATCCCCACAAGGTAACATCCATTTAACCTCTTAAGATGTGCTCTCCTAAGCACTTTGCAGATATAAACTCATTTAATATTAATCTTAAGAGACAAATAATTTAGACCCAAGCACACAGTTAGAGAAACACAGAGGTAAAGATCAGGAATAGAGTGACAACTGGGTGGGGGAGGGCACAGAACTCTTGTGTTTAAAAACGTTAACAATAACAAGATGTCACTTATTGAGAAAATCAGAGTTGGTCACATTTTCATATAGGGAGACATGATGGGACAGTTAAAAAGTTTTACCATTTCATACCCTGCAAAGACTATAAGCTAACAACAAAAACTTATGAGGAGGATGAGGAGAAAACGGAACTCTTGTACATAGCTGGTGGACATGTGAAATGTGAAATGGTGTCGAAAACAGTTTGACTGCTCCTCAATAAGTACACATCATTTACCACATGATCCAGTTATCTCTTCTTAGACAGAAACAAAAACACATGGTCAAATACTTATACGCGGGTGTTCACAGGAGTTCCATGCACAATAACTAAAAGGTAGAGACAACCTACGTGTGTAGAGGAACACGTAGTATAACCAAGCATGGCATGTTAGCCATTAAAAGAAATAAAGCAATGATATGGATGTTCTATGTAAACATCATATAACAAAAGCAGTCAGTCACAAAAGACCACAGGTTGTACGATTCCATGTACGTGAAATATCTAGAATAGGCATATTGATAGAAAGCAGAATTGGTTTCCAAGGCTCTTGGGAAGCAGAACAGACAAAAAGACTGCTTAATGGATACAGGGTATCTATTTGAGGTGATCTCAGTGGGAAATTAGGTCATAGTGGTGGTTGTGCAATACTGTTAGTGTATTTATGCCACTGAATTACGTACGTACGTAAGAGAGGTATAATGGTAAATTTCTTATGTATTACATATTAAAAAAAAAACTCTCCTAGGTATCAGGAGACTGATTTTTAAATCAACTCTAATCTCTGCCTCTACTACCACCAGCAGCTCTGTCATTCCCCATCATATCCAGCCAGTGGCTTGCCATGTGCATTCTCACTGTTTTCATTTTAGCAAGACCCTCTGCTTCTCCTCCTCTTCCATTACTTTCTCATCACAGCTTCCCTGGCTCACTGAAACCTTGTGACTCTAAGCAACTGAAACCCCAATAAAGGTGATCTAAAGATTAATATGAGAGTGAAGCAGGACTTTCTCAAACAATTTGGCCATCCATTCAATCAGTAAAAATATTTCTGATGTTAGCCAGTAGTATCTCAAGACAGAAGATACACAATTCGAAAACTGTGTCACACACTATTCACTGGGTCAGGGATAAATCTCAATTGTGTCAAATTACAGAATACTTCCTTTCCATCTTTCCTAACCAAAATTTCATATAATGAGATGATGTCTAGTTTTGTTTATGGAACATAAATTTATGAAAGCTAATCAATGACCTCCAACAAAAGGAGGGAGGGAAGGAAGGAAGGGAGAGAGAGAGAGTGACAGGCGAGAGTGAGAGAAGTAACAGTAAACAGTAACAAATTAAATTCAATGGAAATCACATACTTGGCAAGCTGTTTCTCAGCATCAGCACAAAGTTCAAGAAGCCCCATCAGAACAGCGGACACGTCCATGTAAGGCTCCCAAACTGTGAATCCTCGCCCAATCAGGTCGATGGCTGTTCTCCGGATAGTGCTGTGTGGAGGAAGTTTGGGGCTTGGTGGCTGTAGCAGAAGAAATGTCAATGCCTTGCCTAAAATTACAAAATAGAACACCAAACAGTAAAGTATGCTTTTGTGAGTTTTTTAAGCACACTTTCAAATATAAACAATTTGCATTTCCTTCTTTTTTTTTTTTTTTTTTT